ACACACATACACTCACTCACTCACACTATATTTTAATGTTTTTTGTGTGAATATTTTGCATAAGTGAAATAGTTTTGATCACAGATCAGTTACCCCGTTTTGAGGCTGACAAGTGCGTCCACGACTCCAGTTTGATGATATTTCACCATGTATTGGTGCATGGCCGGGTAGTTCTTCCTGATGTTTCTCTCTGTGGATCCGTTTGGAACCGTCCCGAAGCGGAACGGAGGTGAGTACGCGTACGGGTTCTGAAACTGAAGAAGAGAAGACAGAAGAACGATGGAGAGGAGATAAGGAGAGACGAAAAAGAATGGGAACCACTAAAGGTAAAGAAAGATTAAATTTTCTAATTTCCAGGGAACTAATGTAATTAGGAATATGGCACATTTGGGGAAAAAAGGTCTAGTTTATAAAATGACAGGCATTGTATCAATGTCCGCCTTGTGATTTGAACAGTAAATGAACAGTTTCATGCTAAATCTTGCCAACATCAAATTAGTCTTAAAATGGGCAGATGTTTACTTATAGGATATGCTGAAGTGGCCAAAGTGTTAATCTGAATCAAACACACTATCTGACAATGAAGGTATGTATTTCACACTGTCAATTATTTAACTTTCTAGACATTTTTCAATGTCTAGAAATGCAACATCACCTTTCTGTTAGCGGTGGTACATCTATAAGCAAATGAACTCTCAGTGTCTGTACCGTAGTCCTATAAACAAAGTGGTTAAATTTCTAATATTTGATCAGATGTCACAACAGAGTATGCAGTTTCTCTCCCCAATCCAAACGCTTTATTCTTGTGTTGTGATGTGGCATAGCAAAAATACAACAGCAACAACATTTCTCTTTACCTTTATAAAAACAGGAACGCTTCATCTCTCAGATTTTCAGCCTTCACAGTTTTTTCTAAATTCCCTTCTTTTTTCCTTTTTTATTTTTATTTTTTTAAGAAACCATGTCCAATATTCAACATAAACATTTCTGTTACTACAGTAGATCTTCAGCTTTGCTCTCTTTCCTCTGAAAACTGAATTTCTTTTCTTTTTTCAAACTCTCCCATCATTTCTCATCGTCTCCCTCCTCCCCCAGCTGTGTCTCTCTCAGGTATAATCTAGTCAGTGTACAGGTCAAGGGTTTTGTAGTAGTGTGCTTGACGCTGTGGTATCAACCTACCCTCAAGCACTGCGGTAACAATCTGCTTTCAGTGCCAGAAACAGATGAACCCTATCAATTAGAAGTGTGTATTATGAGCTCCACTCTAACCACAAAGTGTGTGTTGTGGGTGTTGGTGTGTGGGTGATGTGTGTGTAGTGTGTGTGTGTAGTGTCGTGTGGTGTGTGTGGTGTGTAGTGTGTGTGTGTGTGTGTGTGTGTGTGAGAAAAGTGGTTTCACTACATATTATTTATACAGCATTGTAAAGTAATATTCCATGACATTTTCATATATCTACATGTCTGATTTGCTTGACATTTTCATTCAACACAGTAGTGACAGCCTATAGTCAGTGCATGACAGATTTTATTTGCACATTATAAGCATTGGTGTTTTGTTCGATGTCTGTTAAACATGTGAAAAAATCATTTGTGTCTAATTGCCAGAGCCGATTTGTATCAACATGATATATATGTAAATATTTATAGATATGTATTTATACTGTATTGCCGAATACACGTAAATCTCTTTTCTGTAATTAGGTCAGGGTGAGGGTTTGATAAGTCAAGCCCTGCCATGCATGTGTGCGAGTGTCTGTGTTAGTGGTGATGTCATACAGTGTGTGCGTCAGCATGACAAGCGATACAGCCCTCAGGAGACACGCTCTCCTCACACAGTTCTTCCTATTGTTTATCTCTCTACCTTCATCTTTCCCTCTGTTGTGGCTCTTTTAAGGTGAAGCAGAGGCTTTACGGTCAAAAGAGAGCACTTTGGCAGGCAATGGGGATGGGGTTGTTGGTTAAAATCTCCAGGCAGACTGAGGAAATGCACACTGGGAAAGTGCACTTCTTTTCCTGGATAATCACCAGTGAAGGGCTTTTGAGAACTGCAGCAGCTGTTACTAATGAAAGCTTGATGCAGAGATGATGAGAAAATGAAAGAGCAGAAGCAGAGGAGCGTCTGTGTTTCAGACAGGTGGAGATAAGAGGACTCACAGCGCTGCCACAGTACATTGCCATGAGGTGACAGCAATGCACAAATTACTAAGCACATTTTGTTCACAGATGATTCAAATCAGTTCCTAACCTTTTCTACCAAGAGATCCTGTTTTTTACTATGTGAATTTTTGTACTTTTAGGTATAATTTTGAAGCATAGAAGGGTGTTGTTACATTTAAAATGTATAAATCCATTATATTAAATATATACTGTTCAACTAATTTCATATATTTAAAAAATATACACCACACTTGGGATTCTAAAAAAGCAGCATTTAAAGCTGTTATGTATCTTATGTTATGAGCTCCTTTCCAACTGTCTATCCACCTGTCCTCTCTTCTCTTGTTTCGTTCCATATCTCTTTTGTTTCTTTGTCTGCTCTCCCAGTGTTACCCTCTCCATCTCCTTATTATACATGTTCTGCTGTTATATAAGCAAATTACTTCCTTTTGTATGTGTGTCAGTGTCTTTGTCTATGTTATGTCTATGTGGGTATGTATGTGTACTGGGGTCTCTAGAATCTAGATTGCAATGCTCCTGTCTGCCTATTTGTCTCCCTCATATGCCAATCTGTTTTCCTACATGTCTACTGTATTATTGTGGTGTCACTGTGAAAGTGTTGACCTGTCAATCAGCTTGTGGACTTTTTCCCTCAACTTTCTGCCGCTAAAGTTGGATTTTTCATTGTGTCTCCTCAAACTTTGAAGCTGCTCTCTGAATCTGAAAGCAGTTTAAGAGTGGCCCTTTAAAAGCATTCCAATATTCGTCCAATCGTAGTGGCAACAATGCATCTTTCAATATGTTTGTATGTGTTCAGACAGGCACGTTGGCTTTTAAAGCCAGTTGTATCTAAGAGCATGTAGCTGATTCAGTGTCATTTTGGCACATCAATCCAAATGCAGACATACGATGCATTTATCATGTTATGCTCATATCACACTTAACATAAATATAATAGAAATCAACGAAACCATACTGTAGATATATTATTCAACTGATATAACAAGGTGATTATGGTGATAATGAACAGCTTAAAGCTTTTCATTAGTAGGTTCATTAGTGGATATAACAAATGGTCTAAATACTTTTTCCAAAGGAGGAATGTTTGCATATTGTTGAGAATAGACAATTAGAAGCTTGAATGCCAGGTTCAGAATGCATAATCTTTTTGTCTGCTAAGATGGCCACTGTGTCAGATAAGGTGGTTATACCATCATAAATTCTTGCCGTGACTTGGCTGAGAGACATAACGGACTACACGTTGGTCCCTGACAAATCATAACTCGCCACTGATTTTATCAGGTGGAGGTGCTAGGAATTAGCTTCTAGGAATTAACTTCCAGGAACAATAATATGAACAAACAAATGCCGTCTGAAGTTGTGTGCATGATACTGTCTTGAGTTTGGAAAAGCCTAAAAAGGAAAGAAACAAAGGCAGTGATCTTTCCTCTATTTCTCAGTTCCACCTCAGAGCCCCAAAAACATCATTCCTCTTTGCTTCACGTGTGTTATTCAGGCCATCATGAGGCATCCCCGATGCGGTGTCAGTTGTTGTCCACTATGATGAACTACATAGAATAAAACTATCTGTTGTTCTGCCTAATGCCTATTTTTGTTTCTGACGCCCTATGCCAGTCGAGTCAGGCTATTTTGAGGCTAACAGTATGTTGTCTGAACCCAGCATAATGATGAAATATGTATATTAGCCCTGGAAATTCCATCACAGGTCAGTAAAACACTAACAGACAGAAATAGCTACTGAATTCATATCATTGGATATAAGAGGTTTGTTTCTATCTGGGATTTGTTTTTCATCTTCTCTAAACTGATGTTGGATTGTTTACTGTTCCACAACCTGGTTACTGCTGTTATTATGTCACCACAACAAACCACTGCAACACCAGCACAGCATTTGTTTGCTGAAATTTGAATTCCTAAGGTCTGTGCACTAAAAACATCCTCTACTATCAGCTGCTGGGAAACCAGAACAGCATGTCCTGTTCAGCAAGCAGGGACAACTAAGCCAGCGTTGTAAAGACAAATCCCTGGTTGTTGTATAGCCTTAAAATGCCACAGACCTGTTAACTGACGGCCCCCCACATGTGCATGAGTACATGAACTTGCTTGGGAGATGGTTTCCAACATCTCAGAACACATTTATTACTCCCTCTCAAAGAAAAACAGCTTTTCCTGATGTCACTAGCTGAGATGCATGAACAATTATTCCAGCTTTGTCAATTTTATAGTCTAAGTTAAAAAAAACGTGTTGAAGTTATCAATCCTATAATCACTTCAGATGACAGTGGATTTGTCTAAGGAGTGTAAACATGCCCTGTGTGTTCTGATATTCACAAAAAACTAAAACTGCTGTGACATATTTTTCTGTGATTGGCTTATTTAGTTAGTGTATCATTTTAAGAGAACCACATATTTACCGGCAATTTGTATTATTGTACAACTCCACAGGTGGCACACAAAGCTCTTGTGTTTGCACTGGTAAGTCATTGATGAAGTCTATTTGCATTCCCCATTTGCATATTTTTAGTTTGCTTAGACAACCACAATTCAGCCAACATTAAGCAAGCTTTGTGTGTTACTGAATAAATTGATATAAAAAGGATACTCAGCCTGATTCAAGACCTCTGACTAGCTACTCACATCACATATTTTGTCTGCAATTCCAAAATGTGCGGTGTTGTGGTGTCAAGACAGCAAAAGGTTGCTTCCAACATATCTGCATGCAAAAAGGTGGTTAGTACAAAAGTGTCTGTTCAATGTAATCTTTCCATGGTTGGAGGAATAACCATGTCAATCAAAGCCTTTTTATGCTGGTTTCCTGACAACAACAAAATATCGGTATCAGCCAAATTGTTATTTTAAACATCAGTATCAGTATCAGCCCAGAATCATTAGCTCAATATATTTTGGGAATCTGACCTTGAGATGGGGCGGATAGCGTGCAACTCACTGTGTTATCAGTGGCCACAGTCCATTTTTGTGAATTTGCCCACATTGCACACAACCCAACCAGCGCAAAACAACAAAGCGCTTAAGTCACTGCAATATTTTTCTCTATGGTTTATGTGACAAATCCAGGGCTAAATAGTATTGGACTTAGATTCAGGTGATAAGAAACACGCCTCCAGTGGTATTGCTATGTTGTTCTGTGGCTGCTGGATGTGTAAGTAGGCAACTGTTAGCCCTAAGACCTTGATAAGCTGATATAGTCTACAGCTTTTTTTATTGTGAGTTTGTTTTACAGCCAGCGTTTAAGGAACAGGGATCTCAATGGGAAATTTTCTTCACCATTTTGCAGGTCACAAATGGCTAAATGTCCGGCCGCGTGCAGCATATCTGTCTGAACGGCCATTTACCCTTTCTGTCTGGTTCCTTTCTTCCCTGACCCTCTCTGTCTTTCCATATCTCTTTACTCGCTCCCTCCTCGTGCCATTCCTTTCTCACTACCTCAGCCGTCAACCTGGCCCATATCTGTCCACCAGTTGTCTTGTACCATCTTGTGTGTCTTGGCCTCTCACTATTCCTCAGTCGCCCTCCTGCCAGTTGCTTTACCCCTTATTCCATCCCTCCCTCCTTCTCTCCTTCTGTATGTTGTCAAAACCCTCTACATCAGTCTCAAATGCTTTCTCCTTGGAAGAATCTCCCCATACATCTATCTCTCTCTCCTCAGGAACTCTCTAACCTTTTGTCTTTTCTATTTCTCTACATTTGGTTCGACCTTTTCATTTAATTTTTCTCCTCCTGCATGGCCACCTTTTCCACTTATATATCACTTACTTATATTCCCTTTCTTATGTATATATTCTTACATTTCAGGGCATGTTATCAAAGTGGTACCTGAGTAGTCCTTTACATTCCCCTAAAGCAGTGATATCACAAGAAATGCCTATATGAAAGGACCAGCAAGCAGGATTTAGTGGCATCTAGCAGTGAAGCTGCAGACTGCAACTAACTG